CGCTTTCATCAATGATATTTTCTTGACTTTCCGATATGTAAATGCTCATGCATATGCAGATGATCTCCAGATATACTTATCTGGTCCATTCCAGGATGTAATTGGAACTACGGCAAAACTTAATCAGGACTTGTCTTCGGTTTCGCGATGGGCCACTCAAAACGGCCTCTGTCTAAACCCGGTGAAGTCGTATGTTCTACCTGTCTACAAGAAGAAAGTCAGTTTTAGCTACATTCCACCAGTTTGTCTCGGTACGACTTCTCTTGTATTAGTCGAAAAAATAACCAATCTGGGTTTTGTTATTAATTCTAACCTCACCTGTGTCGATCACATTAACTCCGTCGTGGGCAAAGTATATTGTACTCTAAGAAATTTAAGGCAATATGCACCGTTTACTCCAACTCTTATCAAACAAAAGCTTGCGCGTCAATTAATTTTGCCTATTATTACCTATTCTGAGTTGGTATACAGCAAGCTCGACTCCAGGTCTTCTCATAAAATTGATACCTTATTTAATAATGTTACGCGCTATGTCTATGGAATACGGAAATTTGATCATATATCCGCCTGGAGGTCTAGTTTACTAGGATGTGAAATTTCTGATTATTTAAAAGCCAGAAACTGTATTTTTCTTTTTAAACTGCTGAGTTCAAAAGAACCACATTATCTTTATGAAAAACTGATTTTTCCAAAATCTGAGCGTGCTTATGATCTAATTGTGCCTGTCTTCAAACTTATGAGCTCCACAAGACTGTTTTTGATCAATGCTATTAGAATTTGGAACTCTATAACTGCTACCATTAGGAGCAAAATCAACAGAAGCAACTTCAAAAATACTCTATAATTATTTCGCTAAAAATTGATGAACCATCTACATATTTGCAATAATATATAATTAAGTGATTTTTTGAGCTTTGTTAACATAACATAATGTTTGTATATATGTTATAAGTTTTATGTATCCGTGTTATTTTCTGTTTAATTGAATGTGTCATATGCGTTTGTATATATTTCAGAATTTTAATTTGCAATATATAAATAAATAAGTATTATCTTTACTTTTATCATTGTTGTACTATAAAAGATTGAATCTTATTGTACTAATGCCTGAACCGAAATAAATGAAATGAAAAAAAATGAAATCGAAGTTCCCAAAAAGATTCCTAAAAGTCCTGCAAAAAGCGCCAGAGTTCCAAGAAAAATCTTGAAAAAATCTCAAAGAGTAGGCACCTTTTCTAGCTGCTGGAAAATTAATTAATAAAAAATTCTCTATATATATTTAAATTAAAATCTTTGATGATAACTTAATTGTTTTCTCCAGCTTCGATATTTGCAATACACAAAAATAAAAATAAATAATGTGTGTTGTGGAAACAAGGTAATTCACAAATCACTTAGCGAATTACGAATCGTGGGAACATCGTATAACTTCGATTACTGGCAATGAAACGAAATTGCATACAGGAGGTAAAAAATAAGTGCTCTTGGCCGTATCGTTATTACTTCTGGGCTTGTAAAAGAGCGTAGAGGTGAACTTTATGACCTTCGCTGGCAGGCGTAACATTACCCTGATCAGTATCGTAGAATTTATCGTAACGTAAAGTTACTCAGTTAAAGGCAAAAAGGTTCATAGACCGCTGATTTGTATTTAGAGCCGGATTACCGAAAATGTGGTGATGTGGTAAAAGCATCTAAAATCGCGCCGGACTTTCCATTGCCATTTCTGGTTTTCCTACTGCTCAAAGTGAATTTTGTAACTACATAGACTGGCCATGAACTACGCACTTGTCTAAGCAATAGGAAAATAATGCAGTAATCTTGTTGCCACAAATTTAATATTTTAACAACTCTGGCAACCATTTCAAATGTCCTAAATCTAATCTTCGCTAGCATACAGCGCATGTGGTTTATATACATATATGTACTTATAATCACACCACGTCGCATATGCGAATGGTATTTTTTCTACGCTTGTGTCTACAAACAAATAAAAGAACATTAAGTCGTCACAAGCCAAAAGCGATGAGGGTCTAAAAAGGTTACAATGAATGAGAATAGTGAGTGAATGTGTTCATACGCAGCTGTTTAATAAACCGCGCATATGCGTATGCAATGAAAAATAAAACGACTGGACTTATGCACTTATGAAGATACTAGATGGGCTTAGGTGTGGGTTTTTGTATTAGATAAGCCTAGCTAATAATAATTTAAGGAACGCTGAGAAGCTTTCTATACAGTGGTCCATGGATACGCGTAGATATTTAAGTTAGTTGTGGAATAATTTCCAACACCGAACTATGCACTTAGAAGTTAACTGCAATTCATCTAAGAAAATGTTGACTGCTTAGGCAAACTGGGATAAGAAGACAGTAACTGGCACTACTTGACGTACGTAGCTGGGCCCAAGGGGATGGGTTAATGCAGCGACTCGATGAGAGTCAACAACTGCGGGAGTGTTTGCGGACGCCCAGACAGGAAGGACAGACTAAGCAGACAGCGGGAAGCATGTCGGGACCATCCAGACAGTCAGCAGTAAGTGGATATTGTTGAAATTTTTGTTCTTATTTCTTCGGTGACTCTTGACTGGCATTTAAACTCGAATGCAATTATGGCATGTATATAAGATACGTGCAAACATTTAAGATAAACACTCTCTGTAAGTTGCGACTAAGTTTATCTAGTGGTGGTAAATGGCGAGCACCGAGTGCAAGTATACCTATGTACAAGTGAATGAGTTGAAATGTTAGGGGAGTTGATTATTTGTGGCAGACGCAATGGACAGACAGCCGCTTTCATACGGATCTTAATGAAGCTCAATGATTTAGCTTTTCACCTTCTCGCGAAATCTGTGTAAGTAAAAACTACTTAGTCTATGTTAAGAAAATGCATACATATGTTGGCAAGAAAAAAGTAAACACTGCTCTCATTTCCCAAGATAATTTGCCAAGCTCAGTTTTGCAACGCGAGTAAAATTTGATTTAGGAACAGCTCCAGTTTGTTGGCTTTAGTTTAACTAAATAATATTTTCTGATGTACATATTAGCAATCACTCAAGTGAAAGTCGGAGGTAAACGTAAGAGCAACATAGTATACGTACAGTGGTCGAAAAAATCATAGCCACACCACATGCGGACAAGTTTTAACACATTTTTTTTTTTTTAATTTTTTTGTTATTTAATTTGGGTTTTTTTTTTATAAAAGTTTAGTTCATTCTGAAACAAACTCGTGAAATTTCCAGCTTCAGAGCTATGTATTTTAATTAGATTTCCCACAAAGAATCTATAGAAATTAGGTTTAGAAATTTTATTAAACCTTTGAGTCCCACGTTTTTTTTTTATAAAAATAAGTGTAAGATATTTTTGAATTGTTAACGGGTTAACGTTTATAATTAACAAAAAATACAATTAAAAAAATATATAAAAAATTAAACTGTAAGCGGGTTAAAAATGGCTTGAAATGATGGTGCTTTTAATAAAAAAAAAATCGTTTTTTTCTTCCGTAAATGGTCAAAGATGTTAGAAAAAAGAAATTTTTAGATTTCTTTTGTTTAAATTGTGCTGGATAAATTCGTATTTAAATTAAAAATTTTGGCATTTTTTCTGATTGATTTTGGCTGTTAAAATCCTAAAAAATTAACCCTGTTAGCCACACGAGTTTTTTTTTTAAAGAAGATGATTAATTTATATAACTAAGAAAATAAAAAATAAAAAATGTATACACAATTTGACTATCAGCGGGTTGAAAATGGTTTCAAACGGTGATGCTTTTTTTAAAATATAGGATTTTCCAGAGTTGCACGGGTTAATTTTTTTTTAATAAGTGCAAGAAATTTTTAAATTGAGAACAGCCCAATTTTTATAATTGGTTCATATAAGTTTAAACAAATTAAAGATAAAATAAAATGAAAGGAAATTAAAGAAATAATAAAAAATAATAATTCTCAGTGGTTTCCAATGGTAATACTTTTTTACAAAAACAAACAAATTTTTTGTATAGTGTGCGCAGGCAAAATTTAAAGAATTTTAATATTTTTTTTTTAGGTTGCAAAAGTTATATAAATGTTAAGTTTAAAAAAGAAAAGAAATTGAACTGTCTGCGGTTTAAAACGGGTCTGAAATCGTAATTCTTTTTTATAAAAAATATTAGATCTATTTTAGTGTATACGGAATAAAATTTAAAATTTTCAATTAAAACATTTTTTTGTGAAAAAATTGGAATATTTATGGGTTTATTTAACAGTCTTATAAATCCTAAGGGGTTTTTAGAAAAAAGCGGGTTAAAAAAAGCGGGTTAAAAGTGGATTGAAATGGTAACGCTATAAGAAAAAATATCAGATTTTTTTTGAGTATACGACTTAAAAGTTTAAAATTTTTAACAAAAGTTAGGGATTTTTTCCGGAATATTTGTGGGCTTATTATGTTAATTTTTAAGGACCGTTTCCTCAAGTAGGGTTTAAAATTTATCTGTCCTTCAAATACATTTTTTCAGAATAAAATTTGTGTTTAAAAGGTCGAGAAATTTTAGAACTTCCTTGAGAAAATGGACCTGAATGCGTTTAATAAAGTAAAACCATTTATTTTTGTCTATATCTTGGAAGCAACAATCAGCTGGGAAAGCGTATTCGAGATTTCATTTAGTGAAAATGTACAGTCATAACTACACTTCAAATAAGCACAAAAAAGTGTCCAAATTTATCTTAGCCATTTAGGTGCTACCCAAAATCGCGGACCACGCTAACACATAAATAAAAAAGTTCTCACCGCATAATCGCACGAGTGAAAATGCCGTGAAAAATTAAAGCTTCATAATTAAAGTGCAAACTGTGCGAACGAAAATTTTTTACAGCACAAAAGGAAAGTTGGCAAAAATAATGGTGCAGCAAGCAAAGGGTTTAAGCCGGCAAAGTTAAGCTACACAAAAAACCAACTATGTATGTACCAAGAACCCGCACTTTAATGTCTTTTTTGCCACTACGTACTAAATACTGAAATCATACTCACTCCAGTCCATTCCTCCACCTCCCACGTTGGACACTTCTCAATCATGCAAGGCTCCTGTGTGGCTGGCTTTTGCGTTCGACACATAACATCCAGTACCTGTAATAACAGGGAACAAGGAGAAAGAGAAAAAAAAAAACGCATAGGAAAACAAAAAGAAAATTATACAAGAAAATGGTAGATGGATGTATGTAGGGTGGTAATTTCATGAAATTAGTCAAGTTACCATACAACAAACACACAAAAACAACAGCAACAAAGTAATACAGTAACGCGCGATAAACGCTCAGTAGTAGCAATTATGAGCACAAAAGCGAGCGCTCTACTTATGAGCCATTGATGACGACGAGCTTCCAGCTGTGCACACAAGAGCTTGCAGCGTTTTTTGATTGTCTTCAAAGCGCATAAATGTAAAGTTACAAAGCAATAATGTGTGGCACACCGAGCGAGCGCACAGGCACGAGTACACTCGGTGCGAATGTGGCTAAACTGGGCACCACCCACCGCCCGCTGTATACTAAATACTAATGCTATTGTTTTTGTTCTTGTTGCGCGGTTTTTGTATGGTAATTTTATTGTATTTTGTTGTTGGTATTTTTCTTCGCTTGCTATTTTATGACTCAATTTGCGCTTACCGTTGTCTTGATGCCATTATTCTCCTCTGCGCACACAACCATGCGCTCACGATAGCCAGGACCGCAGAGCCGGCTACATGGACTCCAGTCATCGGTAATCCACCTGAAGTGAAATGAAAATGAAATTAAAGCAAATCACTTAATTTTATTACAGGCTGTGGTGGTGTTTTCTGGGGGTGTATGTGGCAAATTTCGAAGGCAAGCTATGTAATAACTGCTTATACAGGGGTGCGCTTAATTATAGCCTGAAAATATGTAATTATCTCGAAGTTGGAATTGATTGGAAAGTAGGCTTTTTTTGTGTGGTCCACGCGCGCCGTGGAAGCTTAGAAGGTAATTTTTGACACGTTTTTATGTGACAAACACATTTAGAAGATTTTTGGACAGATTTAATTTTCTCCTAGGGAAATGTAATTCGGCTTTGGCCATTTGGCTGGGTACACTTTCTATGTGATCGACAGCGGGCTGCCCTGAGAACTAATTGCTCTACTGCGATCGAGTAGCGGTAGAGTTTACTAAGCCCTTAGTGGTAGTGAAATTTGTAGTCAAACAAATTAGATAGTGATAATTCTATTTCACTTTCACTTTGGTAGTGAAATTTAAATGCACAACCACTAAAGCAATAGTGGTGGTGAATATTATGATTTAGTGCAATTTGCCCAAACCTGGTTGCAATCTAAAAGAGAGTTTAATCCACTTGTTTAAAATGAAAAATGTTGCTCCTTCATCGCACCTTTTATCTTAAAAATTTACTTATAAAAAAACCGAAAGAGACATTTTAATTTTTTTCATTCGAATTTCAAAAAACTGTAATTTTTACTAGGATGTAATTTAAAAAGCTGTAAGCTTATCTAAACAAAATGGATTTTAGAGTTAAAACTCTGAATCTGGCAACATTGTTTATAGGAGTAACCGGTCCTCTTCTAAATGTGAGCTTAGGCGAGGACTTCTCTAAAAGCGTCAAGCGGTATGGCTTTGGGCTAAGCTATGACGAAACCCTGGAGGCATCGGACGAAATTCAGGTACACAAGGAGAACTGAAGTATCCTCACTCTCAGCCATTATAAGAAACAGCCGCCTTTCACGCATTCCAAGAACGCAGGAAGGTAGACAGTAGGAGTGAGAGTCAAGTGAGGTTCTCAGACTTTGACGAGTCACTATCTTGTGGAATCACTACAGCCGTAGTCCAGATTAACCTTCATTATGGTATTCGCACCCCGAAGGGGTTTTAACAAGAAAGTTTCCTTCGGATGATCTGGATATCATAGTATTTCATAAGCCAGCTACTTATTAAGCGAAATATGTTCGTGCCCCTACTACCCTGTCATCTTTTAATTCATACACTGTTGAATTTTAGTTCATACACTGTGATCTTTGTTTTTTTTGACATTAAAAAACTTAGTTTTAAATTAGTCTCTTTTTTTGCTTACGATTTTTGGAAAATCTGCTGCGACTTAATTAAGCTGCAGTGTGGTCTGTACTAGGGATGTTGCGAATGTGGAGTTTTAGACATCCGCTTCCACTCCCCAGCGCCTGGGTTTAAGCCCGGGTCAAAGCAACATCGCAAAAAAAATATAGAAAAAAGGTTTTTTCTTAACAGCGGTCGTCCCTCGGCGGCAACGGCAAACCTCCGAGTCTATTTTTGCCATGAAAAAAAGCTTCTCATAAAAATTCAATCGCCGTTCGGAGCCGGCATAAAACTGTAGGTCCCTCCGCTTTGTGTGACAACATCAAGGCGCACGCCACAAATTGGAGGAGAAGCTCGGCCAAATTAGGTGATTTAGGTAAATAAAAAATGGAAAGGTTAGAAATTTTTTATAATGTTTTTTTTTGTGCTTGAATTCAAAAATTGAAACATTGTATTTAATAAAAACTGTTTATTAAAAAGTAATGTTGTTGCCTTTTCGGGTTACAATCTGTTTCTTAAAGGGTCGTAAATCAAATCTGCGCCACTAAATAACTACTCGCACGGGGCGACAAATTTGAAAAACTTGAAGTTTGACAAAATTGTAAATTCTTTTTGATGGACGCTGCACCAGTCGAGAGGACTTTAATATTAAGTTTTTTATTTCGGTGTAATAAATCCCTTTGGAGAATTGCATCGGGACTGCAACTGTCGGATGTGTCCTTTTGACTTTCATCTTCACAATTTAGCATTGTTGTTTATACACCGCTGTTTTCTTTTGGTTCTTTCTGAATTTGGAGTGCCTGTAACGTCATCAGCGTTTTTCGATTTTAGTTTTTGTAATTCATTTTTAATCCTTCCTATCATATGAAAGAGGACTGAAATAGCTTTTAAACAGAGACAATCAACGAATGTGATCACCTCTGTTTATATTTTTTTATAATTTATGTAACAAAAAAGAAATTCTTATACCTGTCCCAAGGTTTGTTCTATGGTAATTAATTAACATATTTTATTGAAATATTTTTCAATAAGTGGCTTTTCTCGTTTAGACATATCAGTTTTAAAGCTATTTACGTCCTCTTCCATTGGATACCAAACTTGTTTAATTCGGATAAGCGGTTTGTTTATTATCCGGAAAGGACTTTTATTTCGGAATAAAAAAAAAATATTTGGCCAAGTTTAACTCGTAAAAAAATAACTGTTATTTTCGGTCTCTTCAATATTCGCATTAGCAAAAGATCCGCATTGATTATTTCGAATGCGAAAGCGAATGCGAATGTTAAAATTAATGCGGAAGCTCCGCGGCTGCGAATGCGAATGCGAATATTCGCAACAACCCTGGTCTGTACCAACTTGAGTTAGTAGTTTGAAAAGACTTTTACTCATATTTTCCTCTAAACTGAGCATAGTTTTGTTAGCAAAAAAACCTAAAGTGAATATGTATACGCCCTTAGTAAAAAACCAAATCTGCATATTTATTCACATGCCACTGACCCAATGTCCGTAAAGAATTTTCACATTGCTGCAACTTTCTTGAAAATCATTGTGGTGCCAGATAAGTTCCTTCTCGCTGTATGATATTGTTGTTACGTTATGCACTTCTGCAATTCCTTTACGGCACAAGCGTTTGAATATCAAGGCGCCAGCTATACTTCTTCATACATAGTATACTAGATACATACTTACATACATACATATGTATATGCAGAAGCAATGATGTTGCTGCTGCCAAAACAAGTTCATATGTACAACTTGTATGCAAATGAGGCAGGAAATTTAAACGCGCCAAACAAGTTAGGCCATAAAACTTCAGCGAAAGTGAAAAGGGGAACGCGGCGCTTTGTACAAATTGTGGCGTCACTAGTAGTTGGACACTTTTAGGGTAGAAAGCTAGCTGACGCGTTAACAAAAAAAGGAGATGAAGAAACTGAGAAAAGTACGTTTAAGGCGCCGCAACAATGTGGCCAAGGACAATATATGAGTATTAAGTAAGAAATAAGGGCAGAAGGAAGAAAAAGTAGTAAGAGGAAGTAGTAACATGGTCAGTGAAAGGTGGCAAACAATGTAAATATACTAATGTATGCATGTTTTTCTTATTAAGAAGGCAGATTTCATAAAGCAGTGCCGAAATGAATGCAACATGCAACACTACTGTTGGTATAAGTAGTGATTGACCTTCAGCATGCCAAGAAGGGTATGATGTAGAGAACAAAGGTGGCGCCCATCTCGGTACGGCTATTCCGCTCTCAGTGAATTTGACTGAAACGCTGTTTGTATGCTGTTACACTTGTACAGCTTGTTTACATTTTTTTTCTTGTAAAATTTCCTCTTCTTCTTTAGTTCCCGTTTTGGCAAAAATTTTGAGAAAAACACATTTAAATGAAAAAATTAATATTTTTTGTTTTAAAAAAATTTGACTTATGAAATAGATGGCAATACCAAGAACCAAAAATAACTGTTAACTCGATTTTACAAATGGAAAACGTTGCCCGAACTTTGATATTTAACGAAAACGTTGTTTCATAACAGTTATTGGATGAAAACTATATTTTATTTCGACGATAAGAGTTATAACCCAACAATTATTTTTTACGTTGCTTGATAACAGTTATTGCCCAGCGTTTATTTTTTACGTTGTAAGATAAAAATATTGACGAAAACGGAGATGGAGAAAAGAACAAATATGATGAAAATAAAAGAGGAGGAGTGAAATAACTGAAATAACTCTTATTGGCGACGGAAAACATATTTTTAACCGCCATAATAGTTATCAGGCAACGTCAAAAGTAAACGTTGAGTTATAACTCTTAACGGCAAAACAAAGAAGATTTCTCATGTAATAATTGTTATGGAACAACGTTTTTTTATCTCGTTCGTCAGGCATCCTTATTGTAAAACATCTTTGAAATCATAATTTAAGCAGGTGGTAATCGCTTTCAAAAATATGCTATATGTTAACCCAGGTCATAAACTATCTGTGTGCCAAATTGTATCCAAAGAAAAGTAATAAACATACACACTATCTCGTAAACTTTCACATTTCTAGGATTTCATTTAAATTGTCAATTAAATTGATTTTAAATTGCTAAGCTTGTGGCAACCCTCGTAAAAAGTAATTTTTAAATAGTTAGAGTTTTCCTTAAACTTCTCTCCTTTGGTACCCATATTAAAATATTTTATTTAAATATTTTAGTAAATTGATTTGGTATTTCTAAATAGGTGGCAGCCCCTTTAAAAATATTTGTGCAATAATGAATGAGGTCTAGTTCTTAGGTACCCATACAAAAATATTTTGCTTCACTTGTTATTTAAATTCATTTTAACTTTTTGAACAGGCGGAAATTGGATTAAAACCCTTCCGCTTGACAGCCACACTAGCAAGATATTTTATTTAGCTTATTTACAAATTAAATCTAACTTTTTACCAGGTGGTAACACCCTTAAAAGATGTTTTTGAAATAAGAAAAGGCCTATCTATTGAGGAGTTAGGAGGCTAGATTTTTCCACAAAAATTATCCCGTGGTATTTTAAATTGAAATGCTGAACATATCCTATACATAAAATTTAAGTATCTAATGGTTTCCTATGTCGATTTCTAAGAAAATTTTTCGCTAGCAAAAATTCCGAACTGACGTGGGGCTAGTCGAGACAATAAAAAAATTCATTAAGGGCCGGTTGTTCAATGCCGGGTTATCACTACTTGCCGGTTAAACATCATTATCGACGTTTTCGACATCACGCATATAACATGTGATCGATAAAGCAGTCGTTGTATTTAACCGGAGCTTCTACCTCCGATTTGTGCTAATCAGACATTGAACAACCGGCCCTAAATGGAGATATCTACCTACAATTTTACGCCGCTTTCGAACGGCAAATTATTTTATTAGAAGCATTTTCAAGGCAGAAGTACACTCGGAGGTTTCCCATTGGCTGACGAGGAGCGACCGCTGTTAGAAAAAAATTGATCTAATTTTACCTGTTGTTTGGAGCAGGGATCGAAGCCAGGACCTACGGAGTTTTAGTACGCAACTTTAACCACTCGGTTACAGCGGCCGTTTATCAGACAATTTAGTATGAATAGTAAACGGAAACTTTTCTTATGCAAATTAACCTTTTTTAAAAAGTATTTTAATTTTTGTTACCAATATGTTGCTACTGCTTAGTCTTCCGCGAATTCTTATTGATTTTGTATTCACAAATATGTATTTACTTGCCAACATACAAATTTAGGCAAACTACTTTCGCTTTCCCACTCCAAAATTTAAACTCTACAGACTTAAACCATTACTTGTTTTTAAAGCACATATTTTCCTCCAGGAACTTTAAAATTTTTCCAACGACCTTTGAAACTAGGTCTTGGCAAAAGAAGCAACAATAAAACTTGCATAAGTTTCAGTCACATAACAACAAAAGAAAAACGCTTCATCACTATAGAAAGACTTCCTCCTCACCAAATCGAAAATGCTGCGAGTAAACAAAAGTGAACATTGTAAACAGACAGACAAGCGAAAGGATAAACAGACAGACAATGAGAGGTAGAGATGAGATTGCAGCTAATGTTGCCAGTGGCAACACATCAGAGAACTTACCTCGGAGGACAGGTGTGCGTGTTGCAGAGCAGCACCGATGGTTCCGGTCGTTGGGGACCGCTGCACATGGTATCCTCGACTTCCACGCCAGTGACACGATTTCGACACACAGAACGAGACATCTTGTAGCCTGCGGGTGACACGAAAGCGAGGAATAAAAACAAGAGAAATTTGTAGCACAATCACAGTTAGATGGTGGCATAATAATATAAAAAGCAATGAATAAAAAGTGAAAAAAAACTAATAAATGTAGGAAATTTAAAAATGTAAGGAAACAGTGAAGGTGTGTATATGTATGTATGTATGTACGTAGTGTTGTGACCAGATAAAAGTAGAGGCAATCGTTTTATCAATGAAAGTGTAAAATCCAGAAAAAAGAACACTAACGTCAAACAAGGCGAAAGTTGCAGCGCCGCGGGCAAGTAGAGCGCCCGAGCTGCAAGGGGTAGCGAGCTAGTGCGCGGGCGGCGGCGGGGGTGTGGTATGGCTTGCGCCAAGTCGCAAACTTAAAAAAAAAACTCAAGCACAACGCGAGTGCCACAGGCAACGACGCGGAGGCACGCAAAGTCATTGTAAAATTTCAGTGCTTAAGTAGCTGCTGCTGCTGCACTGCTCTGAAACGATGCAGAGGAGAGAACAAAAACAAAAAGAGGCATGCGGAGAGTCGCTAAACATAGTGGAAGATGGAGCACTCCCACAAGCTTTTACGAGACAATGTCAGATTTTACGCGGGAGCACACTTACTTACATATGTATTAGGGATGTTAAAAATTATTAAAAAATTTAATGCAATATAGAATTAAAATATGGGTACCAAATTTCTTTAAAATTTTTTGGATTCCCAAGGACGAATAGGTATTTTTTTAAGCTGATAAAGTTAAAAAAACGAGGATGTTATCGAGTTTATATAAGTCCCTAACATATAATTTTTTTAAAAACAAATATTGCAAAATTTCAAGGGTAAAATTTTAAAAGAACATTTGCAACACTTACTAGTCCATACGCACAAAAAAATTTAATCTGATTAAATTCTACAGAATTTTTTCTTTAAGTTCATACCCATACTTCTTCTCGAAGCACATTTCACTGATTTTTTTTAAATAATTTTGGAATTACTTACGTCAGGGTGAAAAACTAAAAACGCAAGTTTACAATATTTGACCCATGGTTTCACGAATATATTGATTTTTGTGTGTAAAATTTACTATCGCACGGTGTTATGTGTATAATGAGCTAGCCATTTATGAAAAAATATTAATTATTAAATAAAAATAATAAACATAGCCCATACTGGTCAAGAAAAGGAGTTTCTGTTATTGCCATCAGTTCAAATTAAAAATCTCGAAAATCTCGGTATTATTGCCAAGAATCCCGTGATTTTCGGGACCTAAAAAGGCCGAGATCCCGGGATTAACATTTCTAATATATATGTATGGCTGATGCTCTTTATGTAGGGCCGTGTGTGAATTGCAACTTTGCATGGTGCTTCCTCCACGTGCTTGAGATTTTCTAAGTGGCCCGACACATACAAATATGTTTGTGCCAAAGATGAACTTTATAGCAGCAAAGCATCAATGAAGGCGCGGTCGCGCTTGTGACACGATTGAATTATAGGCTAGCGTTAACATAATACCAGGCTTTTATGTAGGTGCGCACAAACATATAAACTCGTGCATACATATATGAATGTATGCATACCTGTTAGTAAGCGTGCGTGCACGATAGTGCAACGCCCATGTAGCTATCGGGGAACGCAGCATGACAGAAGCACACTTTGTACAGATTTGAATCAATACGCTATCTTAAAGCATAAACAGACGGCTGCGTTTATGCGGATCAACTCGTTAATTCGGAGTTATCTCGGGAATTAATATTTTAGGCAAAAAATATTTTTTTTCTTCATACATTTATTTTTACCGGCAAAACTGTTGATTATATAGAAAAACGTTATATGAAGAGATTAAAGGAATTGTAATTTTTAATTTTTTTTAATTTGTTTGAGCAAAATCGGACTAGTAGTTCTCGAGTTATATCAAAAAAAGACCACCAAAGGTGACAATTTCCCCTATATGATAGTTATATATATATCTCGATTCCTAGACGTGACCCAGCGAAACGCCGGGACACGTATAACTTGTTTTTGACCGATATAACATTTCCCGTTGGTTTCATCCCATCCCGATTTTGACTGTCGCATAGTGAAATCAATGAAAACTTCACGTTTGGTCTTTTTTTTTAATACTTTATTGAATTTTTTCGGTTTTGAGTAGTGCTCTTGAACTGCCGAACTTCGAAAAACCTGAAAGTTTTATTCAGAGGTCAAGATTTGAGTAATATTAAAAAACCGGTTTGTTCGATAAAAAATCCAGTTTATTCGATATTCGAAAAATCAGGATTTAAAAAGACCACATATAGATTTCCAAAAAAACCAAACCGGTTTGGAAAGACCGAGTCAATCACCCTAGTACATACATTAGTCCGTACCACCTTTCAAGAAAACAAAAAACAGTTCACGGTACATCCCTGAGTCCAATGTAACGGGTGATTTTTTTGAGGTTAGGATTTTCATGCATTAGTATTTGACAGATCACGTGGGATTTCAGACATGGTGTCAAAGAGAAAGATGCTCAGTATGCTTTGACATTTCATCATGAATAGACTTACTAACGAGCAACGCTTGCAAATCATTGAATTTTATTACCAAAATCAGTGTTCGGTTCGAAATGTGTTTCGCAAACCCAATTGCTGCGAACGGCGACGAATCGACATTTCACGGTCTTCAGCAACACTCTCAGAAACAGACGCAATATTCTCTTCTGTACGCACTGTACGCATTCGTGTGGTTGGTTTAATGTCCAATAAAGTAAACTGAGTGCGAAACTTGGTCACAATCGCATTAATTGTTTGCTCACTTGGTCGATTATGTAGACCATAAATCGGACGTAAAGCGAACCGAACACTGATTTTGGTAATAAAATTCAATGATTTGCAAGCGTTGCTCGTTAGTAAGTCTATTCATGATGAAATGTCAAAGCATACTGAGCATCTTTCTCTTTGACACCATGTCTGAAATCCCACGTGATCTGTCAAATACTAATGCATGAAAATCCTAACCTCAAAAAAATCACCCGTTAGATATTTTTGCTATTTTTTGAATATGTCAAATTGTTTTTGAGGTAGAATAAACGCTTAGTGCGCGAGAAGTAATGGCCCTCTTCTAGTAATTTATGCATGTTTGTGTACATATGTATATGTACATTAGGGTGGTCCTTATAATAAAAAAAAAATCGTTCTTTAACAACTATTTTTTGACTTTTATTTAATTGCTCCCCGTTATTTCTGACTTTTATTTTATAAATCCAAATTAGCAATTATTTTTGATTTTTATCTAAATAATCTGCAAATAACAGTTGGTTTTTGATTTTTAAATTATATGTCTTACATAACAGTTATCGAAGACTTTTATTTCTAAAAGTCATAAATAAAAATCAGTCACTGACCATTATTTTTTCAATTATACTTATAAAAGTCATTTGTATAAGTCGTAGTAAACTTTTGTTCCTCAGCACTTCTTAACTGCGAAAAATGTTAATGACATTTATACGAATGATTTAAAAAATAAAAGTCGGTGACTGATTTATATTGACGACTTTTAAAAGCAAACGTCACTGACAGATTTTTATTGATGACTTTTATAAATAATAATTGCAAATAAAAATTTATTTTAAAATTTTAGTTTCGGTGAAAAAAGAAATCGATTGGTATGTATCACTTAGTAGTAGAACATTTCCTTCATAGTGAATTTTTTAATGACAGTTTTCATCGATAAATGCTATGTTCGGTCCCTGGTTATATTAAATATTCAAATATGGGAGTCAAACGAAAGAGGAGTCAGAGATCTTTACTTTTAACATTTAGGATATAAAAGAGGGTGGCCACCTGTTCAAAAACTAAACTAAAATTATTTAATAACTTAAAGGAATTATTGAAAGATAGGCATGAATTGAAATGGGTTTAATACGGCTTTATTTCTAAAGTATATTAAGAGCAATTAGCAATTTCTGAAATAGCGACAGCAAAGCAGCTGATTGTCGGTGCGGTACTTATACATTGGGGAAAAGTCTCCATTAGGGGTGCTCGTGCCAAAACGATACCCACCAATCGTAAAAAGATAGGATAGGAGAAAGAGATGCAAAAAGCCTATTGTCGCCTTTTTCTCTTATCGCGGCACTTTTTTTTTTGTCCGTCCTATGATGACAATGGCAAAGCCCTTTAGTGTTGTTGTGTGCGCCATGGTGTGACCGCCAAAGTGCACAATTCGCTTTCAGTATTAACGGGCCGGAGCCAATTGATCGGGCACCAATCGCAAATCCGAAGAGTGGCGTCAGGCGAGGCGATCTAAAATTTATTGTGTCGGTGCCGGTTTTGGATGGCATGGGCCCACAGAAGCACTCCCGGCCACAGCTCAGTTCTTACTGATATCTAAATACAGGTTGACCTAAACTAGTATAAAAGAAGTTGCTTGGCGCATTTTAGCACTAATCGGATGCCAATTTTCGGTAGAACTCAACTAAAATCAAGTATTGATGAATTTGTAACTTTAAGGGACAATTAAAAATCGCGACAACTTCAACTCATATGATTTTGAACTTTATAGAGCGACTATAGGACTTATTGTATCATTGTTGCAGAAGCAGAGTATACTTATTCTAATGAGCGAGCTAACAAATATAGTGGAATTTGATTGCTTCACTGCCTATAGTTTTCACATCAGAATTAAAGATAACAATATGGTATTAGAAGAAAAAAAAACACATTAAAATCGTAGGGAGCAATCGCGAATAACTCCGCCCGGAGTCATTTATCGCGGCACAATAATTACAGTAATAATGCCGAATTGAAAAGAAAGTGAAATACAGTTTTACAATAGATCATAGGAAAACGGCAACAAATTCGAGCATCCACGGGCAATAATCAGCAAATCAGACAAAGGTTATTTTGTGCTGCAGCGGCATTTTGCCTGCGGATTAATTAGAGCTTGTAAAAACCAATGCGTGCGCATAAATACCTGTAATAGAAAGCCAAGTAAAAGCAAGAAAAAAAATAAAAAAAAAATGCATTAAAGGCAGC